ACCAATAAGTCAAAAGCAAAAAAAAAATGTGTCAGTTTAGTCGCTTATATAACAATAGCTAATGGAAAAACGTCGCTTATCACAAGAAGATCAGTAGGTATTAACAACAACAATTTATAATTCAATGGGAATCAGTAATTGACGTAAAAACTGTTCCTTTCACAGGAAATGCCAGCAACTATGTATTTGGAGAAAAGCCCGCGGACACTTATAAAATAAATTGTCCAGGAAATTGCTTAATATTCAGTTGTTCGCGCTACTTTTGTATTGGAATAGAAAACTGTTTTTATGTGCCCCATTTTAATTAAATTAAAATAGTTTAAGTATTCAAATCACAACATCTAAACAATCAAATTTTTTTAGTATCAAAAGAAACTTGAAAATATACTCCTGAAATAAAAAAAAATACAAGAACATTGATTTAACACATGGATCACTCGAATTAACTATTTCTTTTGAAATTATGCAAAATAAAAGGAAGTTGTAGGTTTATAACAGTAAGAAAGTGTAACAAACAAACTTGGAAGATGCGCAGAACTCACAAACATAAAGACGATTTTTGTTTCTAAAATACTTCATTCAGGACATCCATGACATTGACGGTCAGGAAACAAATGAATTTCAACTTTCCCAATTTGAAATATGAATATGATTGCTTCCACGTGTCTACCATTAGATTTTGAGTTAACTGTCAACAATGTTCTCAGTTAATACATGTCAAAACAAATCAAAAGATTCCGAAGACGTACATTTTTGACTATTGACTCAACAATTAATTATTCAACTGCCTTGCCTGGTGGGTACCAAAATTTCTCTTCCCTTTGTCGAAGCCCGACCATTTCTCCTTGTTCCCATCTCGGTGAAAGGTTGCGCAACTCCAATTATCGGCTTGAAGGTCCTCAAGATGAAAGTGCTACACGCTCGTCCGCATATTTTCTTACATAACTTAAAATAAATAATGACAGCGTTTTTTTGCTTCTACTTTTCTATAAACAACTTGTTTACACGAAAAAACGAATATTAACAAAGAAAAGTACATATTTATTTTTATACAATGCCATAAAAGAGACAGGGTGATTCAGAACTTATCTGACAAAAAAAAAAAAATTGGGTGTACAGGGGACTCTTACAAATACAATTTTGTAAAGAAAAAATCAAAAAGAGCAGTTCGAAAATGATTTAAAAGACCTATTTTATATCAGCAACTTCAAGTGCTTCTGCCGCTATTATTATTATTAATTAATAAAATTAATTTGTGGTTTTAACTAATAAAATAATTTGACATACCTGATGTCACAACAACTGTTCAAAATTTTGTCCACCGACGTGTAAACACATTTGGGTCCGTTTTACTCAGTTTGTACCAACTAACACAAATGTTGTCCTGCTTCACTATAACACAAATGTTTCACCATAAATTAAAACAATATCCATCAACTCCGAGTTGCTATACACGCAAGCCATTTTTGACACTAACTACTAAAAAACTATTGTAAACACTATCGCAATGACGATTGTAAAATCGGATTTCAGTATTCGAAGTCGCTGAGGCCACGTGGCTCTCCACGCGTATTGCGCTACAGACTACAGTTGTTCAGCGATGTAATGGTTGAAAGTACTACAACTTCAATAATTTTTTTCTGGGAAACTATAACGATTTTACAATTTTTTTTACAATATTGACTCCATTTCCCATGCCGCATCTATTCCCAAATTTGTTTGGGTAAGTTGTGAATCACTCTGTTTATATACAGTCTTACCAGTGTCTAGCAGAACAATAGATAATAATTACATTTTACACGTAAATGCAGTGCGAATGATTTGTCTTCGCTAATAATCGATTAAATAAAGAGAGAGTTTAATAAATAATGATGGTAATAAAGAGGCAAGCAAAGGTATTGTTAAAGTGTTACTGGAAACGTGGGTTTTTCTTTTAATAAGTTATGCATTATATTAATTTCTTAAACATATTATTGTCTTATTTTCACTTTTTCACATAATGCTTTAAGAAAACGAAACATGAAAGAGAAAAAAATTGAGATTACATGTAACAAAAGGGAAATTGAAATTAATAAAAACTAATGATAATTGCACATAATATGTTCTTTATGGTTCATGAAATAAAGCTTATGATTTATTTTTTGACATTTCTTAATCTATTAATTTTGACATTATTCGAAATTTTGCAGTCACTTTTTTATGCGCTATCAAGCAGGTAGATGTTACAACCAACCAGTCGGCAAGAATACCCTTTCTATGATTCCTAATAAGATTTTGAAACTAGAACATCCTGAAACATATACAGGCCATTCATTCCGAATAACATCGGCAACGTTACTGGCTAATACAGGAGATAATGTATTAGCAATCAAGAGGCATGGTGGGTGGAAATCAGCCACAATTGCAGAAAGTTATGTTGCTGACAGTTTAAGTAACAAAAATGAAATGGCCAACAGGATTCTTTACAATTACACTTCAACTCCAGATTCTAGTAGTACGTGGCATAATGCTGTTTTAATGGATCAGTCAGATAATATTGGTGACTGAAATTTAGCGGTCAAATCATTTTGAGAAAAATGTGACAAATAGTAAACGCGAGGGCAATAATTAATCAGATTTTATAAATGTTACTAAATGTAATAACTGTACAATTACTATAAATATTCATTCACAATAATTAATAAAATGTAATGTAATCAAATATTTATATTTATTTGTTCATAAAATATGCATTTATAACTCGAAATCGATTTTTTCCCTAGGGAGGTAAGTTACCTCACTTATCTTCTACGGTAAACTCCACTTACCTCCTTAAAAACAATGTATTAATATATATTTGCTATAGTGGAAGCAGATAAAATATTTTGGGAAACTCACACAGCTTGCGTAACATTTTAAACAGAAACAATGACGGATATTTTTTTCACTTCATTTGTATTCTTCGCGAAGCTTGATGAGACATTTCGACAGCTTAAATCTATTCTGTAGGCAAAATATCGTGGAACTGCAGCCTAGTTACGCTTTGAAAGTTACATAATTAAATACAGGAAGTTAAGATTTTATAACACTGTGTCCGCAATCAGGAGACGAGTATTTTAGATATGACGTTTCTTTGGATTTTTAAACCCAAGAATATTATTTTTATTTTATCGCATTTGTACATCCTAAAATATACAAAACAATGCACTACACAATGTATGTAAAACGTAATTCGTTTTTTCCTTTTTTTTTGTAAACATTATGATACTGAACCACATTGTCTCGAGATTTTGTTTATCTCTCGAGAGTAATGAAATATTTTCCATACTCGTATTGTAATATACTATTTTAGGATCGGTAGAAATATCACTTGTCGTATACAATATACTGCACAGACACCACGTTTGTTCTATTTTTTATTTAAAAAACTGAGATTTATAGACGGTTATATACCTGTCAATTTTGCCTGTTATTTTCATTTTTAATTAGCGTAAAGCTTCATACATATGTTACCACTGACGAGATGTGTTATTATAGAAAGTCAAGGAATTGGTACATTTCTATAGCAATATATATATTTCCAGTTCCTCAAATCGTATCAATTTACTAATTTCCACTCAATTGAGCAGAAGATATAACAATTATAACGCATTACATGGACCCAGGCGTTTCATTTCAGCTGCAGTGATATACCCTGTATAGCTTTCTACGTACCTACCACTTTTCAATTAGCATAATTCACCTGAGTGTATTCGCTGGCAACGGCGTCCATCGGTAGTAATAAGTCCCATATACATGCCGTCTGTACAAACGAGAAAGTATCAGATGTCGTGTCAAAGGGTTAATCTCAATGGATGAAATCAAGTGAAAGGGAAAACAAAAACTTTCTTTGAACGTGCAACGTTTCTTACTCGAGTTACGGTACGTGCTAAGAGATCAGTTATTAACAGATGTTACATAAAATTATATATTATGCCGGTCTTTGACATTCTAACCGCTGTAACGGAGGATACATCGACATTGTTACTGACAACTTTGGTGTAGTTGTTCCGACTGTTGTCTATTATTTAATTTTGAAACGTTCCAAGAATGACAGGTTTAATAAAACTTATAATATTTAGTTTCAACTTCTGATATAACCTTTAAGGGTGGCCACCTCATTTTTCGTCGTTAAATTCACAGAATTCACAGAATAAATATTTTGTCATTTGGTGCTAACGTATCTTGAGATTATGGAGCTCAGCTTCATTTTTATGAAAGAACTGGATCTTTGTAAATTCCAGTCTGAAGGTCAATGTGAAAGCAAAGGCTGCAGACAGAGAATATTGTCATTAAATAAGGCAAAAACAGATGTCTTTGTAGCTGTTAAAGAACATGGAAAACTTAAGTATACTTTGCCATAAAATATTGCATAATGGCTACCTATTGCCCAATATTTAGTTATTGGGACGGTAAACAAACAAAATGCGATTAATTGGAATAATTCTGTCTCAACTGGTTGGAATAAGAATATCAGATAGTCACTTATAAATACTTTTAAGCAAAACATTTTGCCATATTTAACTTAATACTTTAATTTTTGTAACCATTAAGATTTTGGCTTTTTATACTCATTTAATAAGATAAATATGTGGAAATTAGTAAAAAGAAAGGAAGAAAGCATCTATTGTTTGTAACAATTATCACTTCATTTAATCCTCTGTAAAACTTATAAATAATTCATAAAATAATAGATAATGTGGGACGTATTGTTTATAGCATCATCATCTACTAAATTGTAATTCTAATGGATATAAAATTTTACCTAGATTTAGAATCACATTTAGGAAAAGATACAACGACAATTGTCATCAATTTGTTTCACAAAAATTTTATACACGGTGTCAAATGCGAGCTAGAAATTAGTATAATTAAAATCAAAAGAACCAGTTGAAGAAAGTTTTGTTGGAATATTTTTCATTCCAAGATACATTTTCAGGCATATCTGGCAAACCAATCAAGCGATTTTATTCTAATCTGACATGGAGGACATTGACGTGGACTTTCATCGCAAGGTACAATTTCACGGACATACAAAAAACCAATGACGCCCAAACTTAATATTATTTATTATTATTATTATTATTATTATTATTATTAATAATATTTAACAATATATTACAAATCCATTGATTTTTCAGCATGAAAAGTATACTTCTCTCTAACACGCGTTGTTCTGAAAAATAATTTCGATTTACTATTGCATTAGTGTGTCTATTTAGAATCTATTAGTGGCATTTGGCCTATTAGTAACTAAACATCCTGTATTCATTTTCTCTTTCGAGTTTTCTTTCAGATAATACAAATTTGTCTTATGTTGTACACTCTATACATATTAGAATTTCCTATTCTAGAAAATGTAATTTTCTCTTCCATTTTCTGTGTTGGTTACTTAAAACTTTGAGTGAACGTAGGAGATACTAGTGCACTTTCCTACTTAAGGCAACTGTGAAATTTTCTCCTCAAAACTTGTAAAATGTTTCTTTTGCATTAAACTCGTGAGAGCTTCTTTCTGTCCCTCATGTCGGGACGCTCTTCCAGTAATTGTCTGCTGTTAATACTAGTATAAAGTGAAAAGTGCATAATTTGTGTACGATATTCTGGCAATATTAGAAATATTTAAGAAATTTCAAACCCAAGTGAGATTTAATAAAAAAGTCCAAGAATAAAACAAAATGCCCATACGTTGATTCAAGCCTGCCCTGTCTAGTCTGACAATCTTAAGATTGTAATCGTACATTTAATTGTAATTTAATTCACGTGAAAAGTCTTTTTTTTTTGTAATTATTGTAGTTGCACCAGACAACAAGTAATCAGTACGTAATTATATTTTGCTGTGACCTAAATTATTTTTGTTTCTCGTCCTTTTATATAACACCAAAACTTATTTAGTTCCGTAAATATTTTCCCATGTCGTGCTTGCCTTTACCACATATTTTCCGCATTTCATGTAATTCGTTATGTCTTTATTTCACGAACCATAAAGAATTGTGGGAGCAGATAAAATGTTATACTCCACGCAGCAGTTAAGTATGATTTACCAGTCTCGGACTCTATTGCCAGCCCTCGCTCCGCTCGGGCGCAAAATGTCGTAACGAAGCCGTCTTTAACGTAATATTATTATTTACGATTTGGTACTAGTCCCAACTTGAACTATCCCACATGGAAACAGTTTGTTTTTTCTGACTTGAAAATCTGAAAGAAAATCTGTAAAAAATTCTTAGTTTTCGTGCCATACAGTCGCTTTCAAACTCCAATGGATCGAAACAATCAAAAACCGCGCAAAAAGAGTATATTCCATGTGTCGCGTTATCCTTGAAAGAAAGTAAATTCAAGTGCACACCATACTGTCTATGTGCAACGACCTGTTCCCCAGCTCTTTCACTCTCGCTAGCAAAACTCCGCCGCTGTAGGTCAGGGCCACTACCACGAGGAAATCACAAGAACCTCACCCCCCACGTATCCCCCACCGCATGGGAACTCCTGTTTATCAATTGTTGACCTACCGAGAGAGATCTTCACTATAAAACGACGAGATTTGGACTATTATTAATCACAACACAGCGACTGAACAAAGGCGTACACATTGTGTCTTGAGAGGTGTCACGGCACGAGGCTGATGGCTTCCAAATTTTTCGTGAGTTTCGAAAGGGACGAGTTGAAGTATAGGGATAATTAATTTTTTTGTTGTAGGGAGTGTTGGTGTTGCAGGCGTTGATCGCTCTGAATGAGGCTACTTTTGGTGGGAAAGAACAGTAAGTATTTTTTTCCGTCATTGAAGAACTAATTATCACTATTCCGATAAAAAGTTGAACATTTCTTTGTTTTTCAAAAATTTTATTTGGAATAGAAAATTTATGTGGCGTGATTCACGAATATAAAAGTGTTGGATGAACATAAAGTATTAAAAATATTGCAATTTCCAATTTATCGGTTTATAAGATACAAGATGTTGTATTTAAAAATAATAAAATTATTATTTTTCTTTATTCTTTTACGCATTTTTCAGCCTATAAGAAAAATTGAAAAAAAAATCAGTTTTTATGAAAATATTAATGCAAAAATCTCATCGAAAAAAGTACACAAAAAAAATTATTAGGACTTTAACCATCGCTGGATCTCATCAAAATAATGTCATTTTAAAGTATACACTTTTTCTTCCAAAGGCTTCCTTTTAGAGATATAAGCTCTTGAAAAAACATTTTTTTTGTTTTTATTTAATTTTTCATAAACTATGAAAGCCATTTTTTTATATTTAGTACGAAGTGTGCGAATAAAAAGCTCTATCGATTTTATTGTGAAAGGACTGTGATAACCCTTTTTTTAATGTAATTGCTACGCCACTGAAAATTTTTCAAAATGAATGCATTTTTTACGGTTCGGTTTATTCTACAGCAAAGAGGTCTCTTTCTATTTTTAAAAGAAATGCTTGGTTTTTGAGAAAACTGGCTTCTTATGGATTCATTACAATTAGGATTTTTTGAAAAAAAATCTCATGCTCGTTGAAGGTCATTGATTTTACGTTACATTATTAAATTGTTGTTTCTGTTTGTTTCTTAATATGTATTAAATATTTTATTCTGTATTGCTTTGAAAAACTTTAGTTTATTTCATTAATATTTATATTTATTTACATTATTTTTGAAATTTGTCCAATTTTAGTGTTGAAAAACTTTACTTGTATCTTACGAAGAGTGGAAAAAATATTCTAGAAATGTTACGAACTGACTATTTGTATAATTATTCCGGGATTTCGTAGATGCTACTCATAAATTATTTTGTAGTATTCCAAATTAACGATTTTTTATACAAAATAAAGCACTTTCGTTTTTTTTTTCAGTGTCCACATCAGAGTGCACTTGCCTCAACAAGAAGAACACAAAAAAATTATCAAAGAAGTAATAGTACACGACCACGGAGGGGGCGGCGGCCATGGAGGGGGAGGCGGGGGATTCGGAGGCGGATACGGCGGCGGCGGTGGCTTCGGGGGTGGGGGAGGTGACCACCACCACCACGACATAGGCGGCGGCTTCGGCGGAGGCGGAGGCTTCGGAGGTGGATTTGGAGGAGGCCACGATGACCACCTCGGAGGTGGTGGAGGCTACGGAGGTGGTGGAGGCTACGGAGGTGGTGGAGGCTTCGGAGGTGGATTTGGGGGCGGCGGATTGGGCGGAGGCCACGACGACCACCACGGTGGTGGTGGTGGTGGTGGTTTCGGAGGCGGATTTGGAGGCGGCGGATTTGGCGGAGGCCACGATGATCACCATGGAGGTGGCGGATTCGGCGGTGGATTTGGAGGCGGCGGTGGATACGGTGGTGGCGGTGGCCACGGAGGCGTAGAGCACACTATTGTAATCAAAGGAGGTGGCGGAGGTGGTTATGGAGGCGGTGGGGGTTATGGGGGCGGTGGCGGTTATGGAGGCGGTGGCGGAGACCACCATGATCATCACGGAGGGGGTGGCTTCGGAGGCGGCGGTGGTTTCGGAGGTGGTGGAGGCCACGGGGGCGGCGTTCAAATCATTAAGCTGCATGGAGGAGATCCATTGCCAAGTGGAGGCGGTGGTAAGTAACTTTTTAGACACAGTTAACATCACACTAAATGACAAATGTCTATTTTCCTTAATTTCAATTGAGCAAGGTATAAATAAATACTTTGTCAAACTTTTGCGGACACACATTAGCAGGAAAAATATATAAGGTATTCCAAAACTAAGTGCCAAAGCAATAAATTAAGGAATATTACTATCTTAAATTTTTTTGTTACCCTAAATACTAAATTCTAGTCTCAATTTTGTGTTTTTTTTTTGGTTTACTCAAGTGTTTCTACAAAAATGTAAATTTTTAAATAATTACAATTTTAAAAATAAAATAACTGGCAAAAGGTGTTGCTTTTTATAAGTTAAATACTTGGTTAAAATTTTGGCACTTACATATTTCTAGGAGGTGGATGTAATTTCGGTACAATTTTTTTTTTCTGCAAGCCATTTCAAATTTGACTTACTGTTATGACGGAGCATTATATTATTATCATCTAACAGAATAAAAAACAAAATTTTCTCGACACTAAAGATTTTTATCTTATAATTTACACGAATATTTTTTTTAGTATTCTTTTCCACACTATCTACACATTCCTATGTTATTCAGGTGGTGGATACGGCGGAGGCGGTGGATTCGGAGGCGGCCACGACGATCACCACGGCGGGGGCGGTGGAGGATTTGGAGGTGGCTTCGGTGGCGGCGGCGGCGGTTTCGGAGGTGGTCACGACGACCATCATGGCGGCGGAGGTGGTGGCGGCTATGGCGGCGGCGGCTTTGGAGGCGGTCACGACGATCACCACGGCGGCGGCGGTGGCGGATTTGGCGGAGGAGGAGGATTCGGGGGCGGTTTTGGCGGCGGCCACGACGACCATCACGGCGGTGGGGGCGGCGGTGGATATGGCGGCGGAGGAGGTTTCGGCGGTGGTATAGGAGGCCACGACGATCACCATGGAGGAGGTGGTTTCGGAGGTGGTGGATTTGGAGGTGGTGGCATCGGAGGCGGCCACGACGACCACCACGGCGGCGGTAGCTACGGCGGAGGAGGTGGAGGTGGATTTGGAGGAGGACACAGCGGCCATGGAGGTGGCGGGACCGGAGTTATAACCATTGTGGAACAAGGCGGCGGTGGTGGAGGATATGGCGGCGGCGGCGGTCATGGGGGTGGTTTCGGAGGCGGCGGCGGTGGCGGCCATGGAGGTGGTTATGGGGGAGGTGGCGGTGGAGGTTACGGCGGCGGTGGTCACGGTGGCCATGGCGGTTGGGACTAAGCCAACACCTCAATCTCAAAGTACCTCTGCCTGAAAGTGTGTTCCACAACTAGCTCATAAGTTCATAATTTATCATTTTATGTCGTGTTCATGTGTGCCTGTGTTGTAAATATTTTATTGTTAAAAGATTTTGTATAATAAAGTTTATTTTTGTAAAAGTTGGACGGTTTTCTTTACTCAGCACGCTAGCTTATGATGGAAATTAAAAATCTAAATCATAATCCAAAACTGATGTAATTACCTACACTCATTTTGTTTAATTGGGTATTCTGAGAACTCAAATTAAACAAATGTCCCAAATAAATAAATAGTAACATTTGGTAGTATGACATTTTTGTCAATTGTTTTTATAGCAATTCACCCAAACTCTTCTTTAATATGAAGGACGATTCTTCTTTGAACATTTACAGAGTATTCTCCTATTTATCGAAATTTATTGAAACCCTACATACAAAGATCAATGATTGTTCTTCAAAAGCATGACAAATAAGAATAGTACTTATAAATATGGTCTATTAAAGAACGTGAGTTTGCAGTATTAGTGACTGGCTCACTCTTCTGGTAATTCAAATTGTAAAGCTACCAAAACATATGTGAGGATGTTAGCGGAAATCTGAAACAAAAAGAAATATTTAAAAAAATTGCCAATAGATAAATATGAATCTTATTTATCAATACCTTTTTTGAAAACTGCTTTATTATTTAAGCTATTTATTTTACGATAATAATACTCACTGGTCCTGCTATTCCAAGGTCAATAGTAAAAACTCCACTCGCTGTAAACGGTCTGTTTTTCTTCAATTTTTCAATAAAAATCCGAACTTGCTGGTGTTCCTCTGGGGTAGATATTCTTGTAGAATACTCCAGTAAAAAAATTGTCAGGCCTTCAATCTGTAACACGTGTGCAATTTAAATTAATCAGTTATACTTTTCCTTCCACGCATTGTAATAATCTTTAAAAAAATTTCCAGTAAAGCTTTCGTAATGTATAAACTTTAACTTTCGCTGTAGCTTTGAGCCACGCAGTTAATTCATTCAGGAAAAATAATTGTCCGCTATAATAGAACATTTATCTGTACCATTAATTTGCTTATTTTTTAACACTCGTATGTGGCACACTTGATCGACGATTAAATATAAAAGTTGACAAGTAATCAACAATGACTTCTAATTACGGTGAAAGTCTTACGAGATTCAAATTTTCTCTTAAATCAATTTACCTTGTCTTTGAATTTACATAAATATCCCAACTTATTTTTATTATACAATATTTAGAAATGAAAGTCAGCGGATAACTATGAAGTAATTTCTCGATCAAAATTAATCACATTATACACTATTTGCCAAAATGATAGAACAAAATTCATATTTCTCTCCACTTCAGATTTTAAAAAGTCGCTATAATATTTTCTATTTTTTTTTAGCTGTTTGACAGACCTATAACATTACTGACATTTTTTTTAATAGGACGCTGAATACTGTAAAATATATTTTATAGTATTCAGCGATATAATGTTATACGTACTTTTTGTCAAAAAAATGTAAAAAATTGTCCTTTATGTCGTACTGACGACTATTTCAAACGATCATAGTCTCTTCCGTACTTTAAAAAACGTATCTACTCTTTATTAATCTTTGTCTACTTATTTTAAAGCATTTTTTCTCAAAAAAAGATCATCGATAAACACATAAAATTCACCAGAGTGCCTTAGGTATAACGTAAATTGTTTTAGTTCCAATTCATTCGTAGTTAAATTATTTTGAAAAATTTTTGCCCATTTAAGCGAAAAACAGATAATTGAAATTTTAATAATTATGATTGGATGCGGAGATAAAATCCGTAAAGACCACATTTAACCAACCAACTACCATCATAGAAATATTTTTGTATTTTGAAAAAGGCCTATCTTCTCCACATACTGTATATTTTATCTTTATTCAGTAAGTTTTTGTTTATTTTAATGTATTCTATCGTCTGTTAAAGTTAAGACAGTCAAACACCGTGTATACCCATGATCCAGTAGAGATTTTGCAAATGTAAAAAAAATGTGCTCATTGGAATATATTAAACGCTTAAACGACAGGTACATGCAAAAATATTGTCAAACATGTTAATTATACAATTTCTCTTTTTGTTAGCCATACGACATTACTAGCGGCAGTAATAGAAGTTGCCTAACGTTAGGCAATATTATACTCTGTAGAAGTTTAAGTATTTACTTGAAATAATAAACTAAATTTCATGTTCACATACTCGTAACACCGTTTATATTAAAATTAACATTTCCCTTTTACTTACCATGTTCTTCAAGTGTTGAGCGTTCTTCAGAAACAGGAACAGTCCAATAGTGTGCTGTATCACAAAAGAGCAATTCATAACGTGTATAGTTTTCGCAAAAGGTGACTTAAAATTATAGACCATATAGGCTATAACGGCATACCAGTGGATAATCAGGACAGTTAGCTCAACACCAGTATGCACCAGAAACTGAGGATTCATACAGTCGTTGAACTTATAAATACACAAACTGATTTCTTCGTGCAGAATCCTCAGATGCTCCACTAAATCTGGAGGCGACAGCTTATCCATTTTCGTAGTGCAGTGATGCTCACTTTTGCAGAGCTTGTAGTATATCACTCCGAAAAACTCGCTTTCATTGTTGGTTTCGTTAATTTCCTTCATTGGATGGACAGGAACATGCTTCAAAGCCTTTATAATGAGTTTCTCGAAACAAGCCAAAACGCCTACAAGCGTTGATATAACAGTAAAAAACAAAACGTAAAAAGCAAATGACAAGCTCTGCATACCACGATTTATGAAGATGTTTACGTCGAAGTTAGTCTGGAAACCTTCGGAGTAGTGCAACCAAAGTAACACTGTGATCTCTAACATCGAGACGAATATTATCGTAGCTATCAACCCGTACTGCACTTTGACTACAACCTTCATCGCAGATTGACAAAAAAGGTCATGCTTAAGTACGGGCAACAACTCGTTCAAAGCCTTGATCCACTGCGGGTGCCTTGTGAAGTTTGCTACGGTCAGAATTAGGATATAAACTCCATAAATTGCTTCGGTTATTTCATTCAGAAGTATCAGCAAAGACTTTTTCTTCGCTAGGTGCAAAAAATCTACGGAGGTGCCGACTTGGTAGATGTACAAGCAGATCACCAACAACGTGTAAAATACCCAGAACAAGGATTTTTTGTAGGTGCATCTGTTATTCTCGTGGGTCCAGGTAATGGGGAACAATCCTAGCAATCTGGATATCCTCAGAACTGGGCTTAGGGTGGTGCATAAACACAAACGCGTTTCATTGGGGTTCACGACTTTCCCAAGTGAAACAGGTGCAATTTTTTTGGTCATCTTCCCGAGGGCCTTAATTTTTGGTCCAAGATGCGCGAAACTGCAGCGCTACCAACACGTAAGTCAGGACGGTGCCAGATATCTGCAAATAACGGAATAAAAAATAATATACGACATATGAAAAACACCTTTTTATGATTCTACACAAAATATGCTGTAAATTATTTCGAAATGATGATACAATACGACACTAAAACTGAGTTTGGATGGAAACATATTGTTTAAATATCGATTAAAATGAACTACATTTGTTTAAAGCTTTTAATTTAATCTAATTTAATTTAATTACACATGCGATTTTCGTCGGTAACGAAAAAAAGCTTACCGCTGCTAGTAGTCTTGTGCCAATTACAAATGTTCCGGAGGCTCTAAGGACGGGCTTCTGGGTGGTAAGGCCGGATATCAACATTTCAACCTGACATGTAAATCATAATGGAGCGAGAGAACGATAAACAAACGCATGAACCTTACCTGTATAGCCTCGGCTGTAGTCAATTTACTAATTGGATATTTGAACAGGAACGATAATATATCTTCGCTCTGAAACAAACAGTTCATGTAAATAATAGGAACGAGCATACTGTCATTTAGTAATATTTGTTGATTGAATTATTGCCAATCAATATCTCGTGTAATTCGAATACGACATGAAACAGTATATTAGTTTTGTTTTATCTCAACATGATTTTAATTGTAGATTATTCATTCAAACGACTTAACTACTATTCTAATGAATACTTTGTTGTGCCCTTTGGTATTTTTAACGTCCCTCAAAATACTAACGATTTATAAAAAGGCGTATATTTTAAAAATATTAACTTTTAAATTAATTCTTTCACTCACCATATTTTTAACTCTCTCAGCTAGTACGAGAAGGTATATCAAAATGACTGTTATATTAAACACAAGTATTTCCAATACACAAATTCTGGTCTGATTGAGCACATCATCTGCATTAACTATTACATAAATGTTGCTTATTAAGCTACTTGTTAACAGCGTAAACGACATCAAAACCAAAGGAAAATAAATATCATTTACCAAATCTATACTTCTGCAATAGGCTAGGAAAAATTTGTTTAATTTTTTAAGTTTTCGGCTCAGTGGCTGTCTACGTCTGTAGTCATAATCGAAAGCAATTGTTTTATAATTTGTCAGCCTATCTGCAGTTGGCAGCACCAGCAATAAGTGGTTTTTCAAAAAAACGGTGTAGTTATCAAACATGAAAACGATAAAGGTCATCATCTGAGCGGCTTCATACACTGCCAGCATTTGGAACAAGGCAGCTGTTACCTGATTTATAATAAATAGCACAGATCCAAAATTCATATGATCGACAAACAAGCTTACGCTATATAGAACATAAACAGCCATAGCACATAACGTCATATTGTAAAAGGTTCTGTAGTTCTTAAGTGATTTTCTCTGTTTTGCAAGTGAAATGTATTGAACGTAAAACTGATACCTACATTCGTGCAGGATCAGCCAACTCTTCAGAGTTCGGACAATAGTTCCAAGTTTAAATAATTTGAAGAATAAGTTTATACATCCAGCAATTATCAAAAGAATATTATTTATAAAATGCACACATGCCAAACTGGAACTTGTGCACTGATCTTGAATTAATTTGATATAGTACAGCATCGAAACTGAAAGACAAACAAATATGACGCAATAGCCTATGAAACGTCTTGAGTTAATGACAATTGCAGAGTTTTCTTTGCCAGAATCGTGAAAACAACGAAACGATATGGGAGAGTATATGGAGTAAATTTGCTTGAGGAGGCATACAATGCAGTCATCCATTTTGCCTCTAGGAAAATGACACATGTGCATACATGCATCCATATATCCGTAGATATTAAGATAAGGTTTAATGAGCACCATTGGGGTCATTGATTAATAGATTCATTAGTAACAGCAATAACTGTATTCCAATGCGTATTCAGTTATATTGAAATACATAAATTAATGTCATTGCTGTACTTTTAATGAATTTTAAATTAACCCAAACTATTCTTTCTTTCTAATCAACTGACAATAATTGAAAATTGATTCCAATGGACATTTTACAAAAAAGATATCTTCTTTTAGTGCCGTTAATATTTTTTTATAAAAACACTTACCATGCTATTAACATTCTCGCATCTTACAAGAATATAAACTATGAAACTCGACACGCCAAGTAAGAACATTTTCGATACGGAAACCATAAGGTAATGTTTTTCATCTGCTTTGTAGACAATGTAGATAACGGTAATTAAATGGACCGTCAACACCATATACCAAACTAAGGCTGTGGGAAAGTAAATAGCATTCAAGGACTTAAGATTTTTACAATAGGCAAAAAAGAATGAGTTGAGTCTTTGAAATTTTTGGTCCAGTGGCTGTGTTGGGACCATATCGTAAATGAAAGCTATTTCGTTGTAGTACGTAAGCCTGTCAGAAACAGACAATGCTAATAGTAAATTGTTCTTCAGAGATATCAGGTAGTTTTGGAACACCAAAGTAGTAACATTCAATTTCTGTAGGCCCTCAAATATTGTCATCATCTGAAATAGCATGCTGATGTTGTGGCATATAATTCTTATATAACCAAAATCTATGTGGTTGAATAAAATCACGTCGGAACACACAGTTTCTGCCAACACAATAAAAATGAAGGAGTCGTAAATTATTCTATACTTCTTAACAGATTTTCTTTGCTTTGCCAGTGATACGTATCGTAGGCCAAAATTGTCCCTAGTTTCATGAAGCTTCAGCCAACCATTTAAGGTCAATATTGTCCTCCTCAGTTTAACTAATTTGAAAAATAAAATTAGGCATCCTGAAAGCGACAACAGCATATCGCAGAAGAGTATCAGGCACCTAAAAGTGAAAGTTTTACAAGAATCCAGACACAGCTTGGCGTTGTACGACAACAAAGTCGACATGCAAATAAATATGACCCAGTGGATTATGAAAGATTTCATTTTAATGGTAATTTCATTTTTTCTCGATCCAGCGTTGTGAGAACAATTAAACGTTATAGGAACAAATATAGAAAAAACATGTTTCAGTACGCATATAAAGTAATAGTCCATTTTGTTTAGCTGCGTATACAGTTTTCTACACAAATGAGCACACCACGACTTTACTGATTTTTTTCGTTCGATGGGTACAATTAGGACTTTGATTAAATGAACTAATTAATAAAAGTAATAACAGCGATAAAGTCATATTCGATTATTGCGTGGCTGAATCAAACAGAAAATAGTTCAAATATACGAGGTCTGGTCAGAAAATAACTTAGTGTTAGTGACGATTTTTGAAATGTGCGATTTTCTGGAACGCAAGAAACGCCCCAAGAAAGCACATCAGTCTCGATTCATTGTTAAAATGATGCTCAACGAAGTGCAAACCGTATTACAGATTAGAGAGATTCAAAAATAACAAAGATGCGAAGCCTCTGTAACGCTTTGCTGACATTCCCCGTAAATTAACAACGTAGTTCAACAGCTACAACAAAAATAACCACAAGTGCAGTGCTTATGGCTTTTGTAACAGTAATACATCTACCAATAAACTCTATACAATACATCTAAAATGATTTACTCACCATTTGGTTGAATTGGTCACATAGAAAGATGACATAACCCAAAAACAATATAGCGTTGATTACATACACCACCATGACGATAGTTTTAACTTTGAAGACTTCATAATCTGCGTTAACAATTATATAAAAATTGATAACTAAGTTAAACATCACCTCCAAAAACCAGAACATAGCCAGAGGTTGGTAAACAACATTTACAGAATTTACATTTCCTGTAAAGGCAGAAAAGAATCTGTTCATTCGCTGTAACTCATCTTGAAACAAGGAATTTTCTTTCCTCATACCATAGACAAACGCTATGTCTTTGTAATAAAAATATCTATCGCTAGACGATAGCGCTAGTAAGAAACTATTCTTAAGCGAGTTTAAAAAACATTTGTATAAGGCACGAATCGTAGTTATGTGCTGGATGCTCTCAAAATAGGTCTCCATTTGAAAATAAAAACATGGTATCTCCAAGAGAAGCCTTATTGGGAGAAAATCGTCGTAGTATGTTATCGTTACAATTGTAGAATCGAATATTAAAAGGCCACAGATGATCACATTAAAAACTATCCTATTGCTCCTTAAAAGTTTTATTTCTTTCCCAAGCGATATGTAACGAACACAAAACGCTTCTTTAGTCTCGTGCAGAGACAACCATCCACGTAACGTCAAGACGACTCTGCTGAATCTCACTAGATTAAACAAGAGAATGGTAAAACCTATCAGAGACAAGTCGAAATCGCAAAGAACTATCATACACTTCAAGGTGTAGTCAACACAGTACCTGCTTGCTAGTAAATATGCGTAAACTGTTAACATTGCCAACGAACTGAAAAATATTAGATAATATCCGCCTAAGTAGCTTCTTCTGATTTTAACTTCAGATCTGACGTCTTTGTGTGAGCAACTGAAGTAGATAGGGTTAAGAGAGTTGAAGGTTTCTTGCAACAAACATCCGATGCAGTTACTCATGCTCAATTTTTTTGGTCGAAGCAATACATGTACCTGACTAAACGTATTTTGTTGTATCAAATCCAATTTGGTCAAATGAATTCATTTGGTAAAGAAAACAGATAAAGTGGTTCACTAGTAACATCAAAATAAGTATTATTATCATTACAATATTTTTTTTATACAGCGTGTCCCACTAGTGCGGGAAAGTCCAATATCTATGTTAAAATGAGGAACATATGGATTTTTCTTTTTAATGTGTTGTCACATTTCTCGGAATGTACAAATTAAAAATATATTCAACTATACAGGGTGTTCCACTTTTCCTGGCCAGACACCAACTTTGGTTTTTAAATGGAAACACACATTTTTTATATTTTTTTCGGATTCTATATAAAAAATAAAGGGTACTTTGTATAGAATAGTTCTATTCAAATATTCACAGTTTTTAAGATATCTCGCTTGA